GGATAAAATGGGAGTTTAGATTCTTGGTGGAAAAAAAGGTTTGTTCTTCAAAAGAACAAGAGTTGGAGAGCAGAGTGTTTTGAAGCTCTATGGAAATAATATAGAGAAAATGCAGAGTTTTTGGTGTTGGGACTACAGTATATCACCACAGGAGGTTAACATGGGAGAAAATTATTTTCAGCCGCAAAATCTGTACTGGCAGAGCTGGGTCCAGTGCAAGCCAGGGCTCTTAGAGTATGTTTAGGAGCAGTTCGAACCTCACCAGTGTGTGCGCTCCAAGTTGAGATTGAGGAAATGCCATTAGAATTACAGCAGAAACAGTTACTAGTAAATTATTCCATTAATTTGAAAGGTCACAGTGATAATCATCCAACTAAGAAAGTGTTACAGATGTGTTGGGAAACAGCAAGGCTGCACAGAGAGAGCTTTGGTTGGACAGGTGGTAAGTTGGCTGCCAGTGTAGGTGTAAGTAATCGTTTGTACAGTCCTACGGTACTGTGGCCTTTTGTACCAGAGTGGCTGCTGGCAAGACCAAAGGTGGACCTAAAGCTGAATAAAATTAACAATAGTAAGGAAAATGTAGATTTGTTATGGGGGGTTTATAACAGAGTAGAGTAGAAGTATTTAAAATGTATTCACATTTGTACAGATGGATCAAAAAATCTTCAGGCAGGGCTACAGAAGCAGCAGTGGCAGTGCCCAGGTGAAGGGTTGAGATTTCTATATGGACTATTAATTATCTGAGTGTATATGCAGTGGAGTCATATGCAACAATGAAAGCTTTAATATGCGTCAAAGAGAGTACACCAAGTAACATTTTTTATATGGAGTGATTCATTTTCTGTCCTCACAAGTATCAGTTAGGCACCATTAGGAGCCATCAGGATCTTCTGTACAAAACATTGAGCATATACTCAAGGATGAGCCAAATTAAGGAACTTGTCATCATATGGGTTTTGGCACATGTGGGGATACTGGGAAATGAGACTGCAGACAAACCAGCTAAAGAAGCAACAAGGAAAGGGGGTACTGAAGGCAACATTAACATGGCAAAGTCAGAAGGGACATGTTTAGCATGGAGGAAAATTACTCAAGAATGGCAAGAGAGGTGGGATTGTGGAATTAAGGGAAGGCATCTGCTGTATATACAGTAGGATAGAAAATGGGGGAGGGGGCAGAGGCACAGTAAGGAGAGAGCAAGTAATAATTAGTAGAATCAGAATTGAACACAGTAACCTCAATAGTACATTTTTTGTTATAGGAAAATGCCCTACAGGCTATTGTGATCTTTGACAAGAAACAGAAGCAATAAATCATGCCATCATTTCATGCAGGAACTATTCAGGGGAAAGTGTAGATATGGTTGCTCGGTTTCAGGAATTAGGGTTAGTAGATATAAGTTAAAAAAGTATAGTAGAATTGGGAAGGAGCGGAAGAGGGAGAAGAGTGTTAATAGATTACTTGAGGGTAACGGGGCTAATAAGTGGAATTTACGATATTGAGACGTTGACGCAGACTATGGACACCAGATGGCAGTGATGCAACAATAGAATTCCGACCGCCGTAAAATACAAGAGAAGAAGAAGACTAGCATGGCTGCGCCCTGGTACCTTTGGCTAAGACTATTGCTGAGTTAAATGACGTTAAAGACAACGCTGTGATCAGTACAGACTGCAGTCAGGATGGTCAAAGATGCGATGAGGTGGAATATAAGAGCGTCTCTAGTGTACGCTGTGGGCGTGTGGACCATGATCGGCTCATACGCCTTTTTTAAGTACACAGGTCGTTATGAAAGCAACCCAGGTGAGTGACAGTCTGCTCTGGCCTCGCTGACCTCAGACACTTCGCTGGTAAACCCATGGATAAGCCACTTAAGCCTGGCAGTCACATGCTCGGTGCACTTCAGTCTAACGTTACTGGCTAGGAGTAAACATGGAACTGTTTTTATTTACTGTAAATAACGAGGCTACCTGGTTTTTCCTCTTCTCTTTTCGTAATAAGTCTGTGTGGCGAGTATCTAAAAAGCCAGCTGTTGTAAACCAGTGGGCTATAGCAACAAGTCGTGCAACTGTAATGTGTCCAAAATTAACGAAGTAATCAAAGTAGACACTAAATATGACAAACTTTGATGCGTATAGTATGGCCAAGACAGATTAATAGCATCTTCAGGTGACTTGAGTCTCACTATACATTATTAACAAGTATGTAACTGTACAAGCCATTATGTACAATAAAGTCATATCTGTGTATATGATTATTAACATTTTATGAGCTACACTTTACTACACTACATGAACTTTAAAGATTAAGAGAGATTAAGATTTTAAGAACATATAATGTACCTATAAATGCCAGTGTATAGTATATTTAATGTTTAATTTTTATATTGAACTCCTATTCAACAAGCTACAGCATTAAAATGTTGCTTAACCAGTAAGGCATCAGTAATAGTAATGGTTGATACTGAAAATAAACACGTCACACAGGGATCTTGCTACTTCATAGCAACTTGTACTTTGGATACTTAACATACAGTTTACTTACAATGCTTGTGTACTTTTACAAAAGTAAAGCTTTGAGAGCAGGACCTTTACTTGTCATGGAAGTTTTTTACATTGTAATATTTCTGCTTAAAGATTGATAACTTCTGAAACCAACTGGTTGTATTTGTTTGGACTCTTGTAACCTCAGGTATCAGTGTTCCCCTAACAGTTTACCATGTCAGCAGTAGTAGCTGATGAGCTAAATCACTCTTTACTTTTTCATCTCTAACTCAGTGAAAAAAGAAGAAGAAGAAGAAGTGCAAGAGCTCGAAGATCCAAATCGAGTCGTTATCGAGACTGCTCACACCAAGACCACCATCATATACAGGAAAGATTTTGTCCCATACACCACGAGGATCTACAATTACATCAAATCATTCAGCAGTGAGCCTGGAACAGGAGACGGTGAAAACAAGTAGCTGCATCAATGCAAAGGACAATGGACTGAAGATTGACTCTTGTGAAGAGTAAATGTTCACGTTACACTATGAATTAATACTTTTGGGTAAGGACATTATTGTGATTTGCAAAGGAAATTCTCTGATCTGATGGAACTGCCATTGTGTTTGGATGCCATGTTATATGCTGTGGAATAAAGGTATTCCTGTCAGCTTCCTCCACATCATTGTCCACTGTTTAACCATACCACAATCACTAATAATGTTTAAATAAACTTGATGTTCATATTAGAAATATGTATCGTTTTTATGGATTTATTGCAGGAATATGTCATCCATTACATTGGGGTGTTGTATAAATGTTATTTATGAATGTGAAGTACTGTCTTTGGGCAGCATGGTGGGGCAGTGTCATCTTACATCTGGAAGGGTGCGAGCCCCGTCAGCCGGGGCCTTTCTGTGTGGAGTTTGCATGTTCTCTCTGTGCATGTGTGAGTTCTCTCCGGGTACTCCGGCTTCCTCCCACAGTCCAAAGACATGCAGCTTAGGTTGGTTGCATCAGACGTTTACGTACACTTAGGAAGAAGTCATTAAAATTTATTTTTATTGTAACCACTCCACAGATGTCATGTTAAACTCTCATTTTGGCAAGTCGATTAGGACATGTACTTTATGCATGACAGAAGTCATTTTTCCAACAGCTGTTTACAGATAAATTATTTCACTTATAATTCACCATATCACAATTCCAGTAGATCAGAAGTTTACATACACTCAGTCGAATGTGCCTTTAAACAGCAGTCATGGCTTTAGAAGCTTCTGTTTGGCTAACTGACATCATCTGAGTCAATAGGAGGTGCAGCGGTGGATGTATTTTAGGGCCTACCTTCAAACTCAGTACTTTGGGGACAAAGGTTTTACTTTTTGGACAAATGTCCTCCGGTCTGATGAAACACAAATTGAACTGTCTGGCCATAAAGACCATTGTTATGTCTGGAGGGAAAAGGGGGAGGCCTGAAAGCCAAAGAGCACCATCCCAACTGTGAAGCATGAGGGTGGCAGCATCATGTTGTGGGGGTGCTTTGCCACAGGAGGGACTGGGGCACTTCACAAAATAGATGGCATCATGAGGAAGGAAGAGGATGTGCATACAGTGAAGCAACATCTCAAGACATCAGCCAGGAGGTTAAAGCTTGGTCACCAATGGGTCTTGTCCAAATGGACAATGAGCCCAAACAGACTTCCAAAGTTGTGGAAAAATGGCTTAAGGACATCAGAGTCAAAGTACTGGAGTGGCCATCACAAAACCCTGACCTCAGTCCAATAGAACATTTGTGGGCAGAACTGAAAATGTGTGTGTAAGCAAGGAGGCCTACGAACCTGACTCAGTTCCACCAGTTCTGTCTGGACGAATGGACTAAACTTCCAGCAACTTATTGTTAGAAGCTTGTGGAAGGCATCCTGACATGTTTGACCCAAGTTAACCAATATAAAGACAATGCTACAAAATACTAACCGAGTGTATGTAAACCTCCACTGGGAATGTGATGAAAGAAATAAAAGCTGAGATGAATCTTTTCTTCTACTATTATGCTGACATTTCAATACTGACCTAAGACTATTTATAGGACTAAATGTCAGGAGTTGTGAAAAACTAAGTTTAAATGCATTTGGCTAAGGTGTATGTAAACTTCTGACTACAACTGTATATGTATTAACAGCAGAATTTAAAATTAAATTTAACTGTGACAGTATACTTTATATACTGTATATTAGTAAGAGGCTGAAATGTGTGGAGCTAATTCTAGGTCTTTGTGTTCTTTTACACTGGAGTGGTATAATTTACTGTGTAACAATGCATTGCCTTTTATATTATTTTTTTTTTAAATCTTGATCCTTAAAGTAAGTACAGCTTTCAGATAAATGTAGTGGTGTAAACTGTAATAATAATCTCAAAAATGTAGTGTAAGAAGGATAAGCATATAATTGCAATACTCAAGTAAAATATAAGTATCTCAGAATTGCAGGTATTTAGTTACGATGAGGAACATGGGTCTGAATGACCTGCTAGGAGGAGCAAACCCCGGAAGCAGCAGACTATGCGCTGCGTAGGTCGACCGCTGGAGGGCGACAACGCTCCGTACACTCTATGAGAACCGGGAAGTTGTGTGTCCCCAACACAACCAAAACAATGAAAGCTATCGTTCAGAGGGTCACCAAGGCTACCGTGACAGGTAAGCGGCTAATTTGAACTGAAAGAAGCTGTTGTGCTTTAACGTTCTTGACAGTGTCACCCAGCGAAGTCTAGCAGCGTTCATTTATTAAACCTCGCTCACTATGCATGTTAGCTAACCTAGGTGGTTAGCATTAGCACTCTCACAAAATAAACGAGACGCCAGGCGTGTCGCTGACCTTCGTTCAGACAGAGCACTGCTACAGAGTTAGCTGACTGTTGGGGCTCAAAGGACAAGCGGTAGAGGTTCTTTAGCCACACAGATAGTGAACGTTTCCTCTGCATGTCAGAGGAGCCGACAGCTGAACGACGGTCCTGCCTGCTGGCTCCCTCTCTCCACATACAGCGCTGTCACTGGGCGCTGCATGTCGCCGAATGACAGTCGGAGCACCGCGTTCATACATAAACACCTTTCTGTTTTCTTGCAGTGGGAGAGGAGCAGATCACTTCAATAGGACGAGGGTTGTGTGTGCTGCTGGGTATATCTGTGGAGGACACCCAGAAGGATGCTGAGTACATGTGAGTGTATGGGGGAGAGACATCCGACACCAGGAAGGGCAGTCTGGCTGCATTAGAAATCAGCTTTCTTTTATAGTTGGGTCATGAATTATAAATCATGGTCATTGGTGGCTTGTTTACATCACAGCTAATCATTTTATAAACCATGTTGCAAATTCTTATAGCAGATTCTACTGGGAGCAATGCTGGTTGTAAAGTCTGACAACAGCAGGAAGGAAGAACCTGCAATAACGCTCCTTCACACACTGAAGCAGTCTGTCACTGACGGAGTTGCCCAGTGCTGTCAAAGTCTTATGCATGGGGTGGGAGTCCTTGGCTAACATCCTCCTGTCTCCCACCACCTGCACTGGGCCAAGGGGGCTTCCCAGGACATAACTGGCCCTCTTGGCCAGTTTGTCTAGTCTTTTCCAGTACGCGGTCGTGATGCTGCTGCCCCAGCAGACCACTCCATAGAAGGTGACTGATACCACTACTATAATAATAATAAACTTTATTTGTACCGCACTTTCCAGCTCAAGAGCACAAAGTGCTATAACAATAGAAACATAGAAATACAATATCAGTTAAGAACACTCATAGACAAACAGAAGCCAAATCTATATCCAAAGACTTGATATAGGCCAGCTACTACCCGGCCGGCTCTCTCACCGGGGGCTCACCCATGGTGGTCCAGCGGACCAATACACACACTAACATATTAAAACTAGTTAGAAAGTAAATTATTAAAGCTGGCGAAAGACAGTGAACACGCTAAACATTAAAAGCTTGTTTAAAAAGATGTTTTTAAAGCTGAGTTAAACGCTGCCGGCTCAGTTATTGAGCGTATATCTAAAGGCAGGGAGTTCCACAGCCTAGGGCCATGCACGGCAAAGGCGCAACCTCCCCATTTTTTGTAGTGTGCAGGGGGAACGACAAGAGCAAGATGACCTGATGATCGTAGGGTTCTGCGAGGGACGTATCTAGCCAAGAGGTCGGACAGGTACTGAGGGGCAAGGCCATGCATGGCTTTAAAAACATAACATGTGCCAAGATCAACAACTAATTTCTAGCATGCATTTGAAAATTCATCACAAGTATACTGTACATTGTTAGTGGGTAAGGAGCTAAAAAGGTTCCAGGTTACAAACAATACATGGAAACAACCAATATTACAACTTTGATTTTACACAGAGATCACGGAGAGATCATGGTGAACTGCTGGTGTTTTGACCCTTCTTCAGGGCAGCCTTTTTAACTTTACGCACTGATCTTTAAAAAGCCGGTGTTGTATCAAAATGTTTTCCCCCTTAAATCTTAACCAAGAAGGGGTGCTACAGTAAACAGTTTTACCTATCAGGAATTACAGTACACTACTATGTGGATCCAGTTTCAGGTCTGTGTCTGTTTGAGGGCAGGGCTACACACACACACACACACAAGGTGCACACAGCAGCACAGACAGAAGCATGCTTTTTGGATGTATTCGTGCAACATCCTTCCCACAGGGTTGTGCAGAGGTGTGGCTGTGCTTATTCATGCTTTTGCAAGTAACCAGAGTGAGACATAACCACCTAGGAGGCCGCTACTGGAAACACAGTTTTAAAAGGGGGAAAGGCATCTTGACGGAGGAACAGATTTCAACACATGACCAAGACTGTGCCTTTTATACTGAGGCAGTGTAAAAGGTGCTGTTTGTTGTGGCATGAACAAAGGAGTGCCTGCCTGAGGGGTAGCAGATAGTTTACAAACTAATGGTATAGTTTGGAAAATGTTCAGCAGTAATGACTCCAGTGTTCTCTGTTAAATGAAACCAATAAGTTGTATGTACGGAGCACAGTGTCACAGGCTTTGTATGGACAAAGAGGCTCATTTCTTGCTGTACAGGCTCATCCGACTCATTTCTTTCAGAGTACGCAAGATCCTGAACCTGCGACTGTTTGAAGATGAGACCGGGCGAGCGTGGAGCAAAAGTGTTATGGACAGGGACTTTGAGGTGCTGTGTGTGAGCCAGTTTACCCTACAGTGTATACTGAAGGGCAACAAGCCAGACTTCCACTCAGCCATGCCCGCAGAGCTGGCCCGGCCCTTCTACAGCAGCATCCTGGAGAACATGAGGAGTACCTACAAGCCAGAGCTTATTAAGGGTGGGTAAACCAATGACCATCGTTGCTGGCCCCCTTTATACTGCAGTTCTACAGTGGTATGTTTCTGATATGATAACTGAGAAGATGATGGATGTTGTGAGGTCAGAGTTTAAAAATAGCAAGAGTTTAGGGCCATTGTTAAAAGTGTGCAGGTCAAAATAAAAGGCCACTTTGAATGGAGTCCCAGGAGGTTGGAGGATAACATGGTTTAAAAAGCAGTGGGTTATTCACAGCTGCTTGTTTGTGAGCTCATTAAAAACAAAAGTGTTGAGGGTCACTGTTATTTCTTCTCACTTATACGTCTGGACCGGTTCCCTGTCCCCATGCTATATAATTGCCAGTGTTCCCAGCTGAGTCTAGGGGTGTGGGTTATCGGTGCTGTGGTGCGGTGGCAGTAATGCTGGCAGCGAATTGGGTCAGACCAGTGGGGAGCAGGTGTGGAGAGCTCCTTGTCCCAGCAAGGGAGACATAAGGTTTCCTAATTAGTCCCCACCTCCAGAGAGGAAATATGATGATACAGCTCTTTTTCACTGCGGCCCATGGCTTCATTTTACAGATGGTGTCATTAATCTCACAGACCTGGTGGAAGGAAGAGAACATTTAGATGAAACTTCCTGTCCTCCTACAGCTGCTTTGCTGTTCGTCCTCAATGTCTCAAGGCTCTGTGTTATCCTACATCCTTATGAAACATGGGCTGCCAATGGCAAACCAATTTCACTGGTGTTTACTGCCTAATAGCATTAAGATATGATACCATCCGGGACGTAGTAGCCTACTTAGGACTGAGTGAACAGAAGGCTATCTGTGGCACTGATGCTAAAAGATGAAAAAATGGGTTTATGTGATGTCTTGCAGTTTTGTAAAATGTGTTTGTGATTTGTTTTGTGCTTCTAGATGGGTTGTTTGGAGCCAAGATGCAGGTCCACATACAAAACGATGGGCCTGTTACCATTGAATTGATTTCACCTACTGGTCCCGTAGACCCCAAACAGGTACGTTGTTGAGCATTTAGGTCCTAGTAGTTTGACAAAAAAGAGAGTCAAAGACCAATAACTAGCTTTATTTTTTCCCCCAAATTAACTTTTAGCCATATTTCTGGGGATGGAGTTTGCTCCTTGAGATCGCTAATTTGCCAGATGCGATTAAAAGCTTAGAACACAGCTATTAAATCGACATTTAGTTATTGTGTCAAAGGTACATGGGGAGTTAGATGCATAATCAAAGTGAATGTGTGAAACTTATTTCTCATTTACTCTGCTACTAAACTTAATCCATCAATTGTCCTTTAACTTTTTAAAGACTCATTTCTCACATTGAACCACTAGGTGGTGATATTTGCTCTTTTGTTGCGAGACTTGTTTCTTCCTTCTCATGCTACATGTAGAGCACTGGGCTGATTTGTTTTACATGAGGCTAATGAGTTCAGTAAGAAATGTGTATTGTCCAGAGCAGCTGTAAACAACAACACAAATACTGTATATAAAATGAATATGTTGGAAAAAAAAGACTCAAATATGAAAACGATTAGAAGAGTAATACACATTAAATGATACCATGTATGATGTGGGCAAACCAGTATTATAAGCAATAAGCTGCACTATAATAAATAACAGGTGGTATTGGAACTCCACTCTGAACAGCTCTGTTCATAGCCACAGCAAACGGCTGCTCTCGGCTCAGAGGCTCTGGTAAACCCACTTTACACAGTTACCATCCAGCTGGTGAACAGCTGTGTAGCCTTTAGCAGCTACAGAGCCAGATACTTTTTCTTGTATTGTGGAGACTGAACTAGACATAAGGTGAGTAAATATTGGATTTATATTTGTCAGATGGCCATAAATCAGACTCCAAATAAATGCAAACATTGCTCCGTGTCAAGATCAAGCAGATAGGTTAAGCATTGTAGGCAAACTAAAACTGCTACAAGCTAAATTGTAATAAAGGATAATTAGTTAAGTAGCTTTTGGAAATTAGAGCAAAAGAACAAAAACTGAACACACCCAGAGAACAACAATGACAGCATTGCCAGGATTAAAGTTGGCCATTACCAATCTCTTCATCGCCTCGTGGAATGGGCCTAGTTCACTGTGTTCTTCTCACACAGCCATCCCCATGGTGAAGCTGGTTAGTCAGCTCTGTGAGTGTGCATGTGCTGTGTGGGTGATAGGGTGTTAATGTGTGGGCTTCACTGGCAGCATAGGTCCACATGCGCAGGTTTTGGGACGCTCGCTGTTGCCCATTCATGCTCACCCTCTGCAGTATCTGTCCCATTCTGGAGGGGGCCACGCCTGTTCCTTGCATGCTTGTCCTGTTTCCTCCAAGCTTCTGGTGGCACTGTATGAGACAGCGCCACCTCAGCTGTATTTTGGATGCTCAGACTTTTTTTTTCTTTCCCCAACAATCTCAGTAACTGTGATTGCCTGCCAATATTTCATCAATTAAATACATTGCCTGTCTTTGTCTGGTCTAGATATAAGAGTGCCATAGTAGTGAGTCCTATACCCTGGAACAGAGTCAGTAGTTTTGCAGTTCCCTTGCCCTGAAGTCAGTGGGTTTTTTGAATGGGTTTTTGGTTAGAAGCTTGAAATAATATGTGCTGCAAAAATCATAACAGTGGTATTCACTTGTGAAGATTATTTGAACAAAACGTGCAAGTGTCATAACGTGGTTTGTCACAGAGCTTGTTTTCTGCAATAAAATCCTGACTTTGGGGCAGACTTGCAAAATAAACCTCATCCATATTGTACTTTATAAAGGTAATGTGTTATTGTACAGTTTTGGAAATTAGAAAACACAAGTAGGCTAAATTGGTTCAAGCAGTTTTCAGCAGTAATGGAAGCACAATAGATGGCGCTCTTGTTCTGCCCGCTGCATCTCAGCTGTTGAAGCAGGGCCGTTGCATTGAAACCACATACCCAGCAATGGTGAGGCATGTTATTGTTTTTCTGTGACAAAGCTGACATGTAACCAGCCAAGGGTGACAGCTCTCAGCATGCACCCCCTCCTTGGAATTTGTTTTAGTCCACCCTTGTGAAGGGTGCCAAAATGTACCTCCTGGAACTTGTCTCCAAAGCGAGTGGAGGACAGTGGAAACAATAGCGGAAAATGGGACAAGAGGTACAGGTTCAGTTACGGGTTGGCAAGTTCTTAAAGTGGAAAAGGTCTAGTATTGTACAGACAGTATCACCGCAGCTAGGTCTAATAATTACTGGTTTTTAATCCATTATTTACTTTTTATCAAACAAGATGAAACCCTCAAAGTAAACCACAATAAATAATGGTATTTCAGTACTAGAAGAAAGTTGTACTAACCAAAAGGAAAGTAATGGAGATATTACACCTTGTAAACAAAAGAAAGAGTTTCTAGTCTTGCTGTAACAGATAAATCTCTAAGCGTCTTAACCCAGCCATTTGAAGGAAGTTCAAATATCCCTCTTCCTGAATCAATTCTGGTCACTTCCGTGGAAACCAGCCAATATCCTTATGCTTTGGCAGCTCTCCCCTTTGAGGGGTTGGCTTGCTTGCCAACAGGGTGGAATATTGAGCACTCCTCAGAATTTTAATCTTGTCTGTTTGGGATGTTTTGCTGTGGGAGCCTAGGAGCCAAAGCCAGAGCTGAACATGAGGGATAAAAGCCCAGCCAAAAGGCCAAGCTTGGTGTTGAGGTGGGGAGGTTGGAGGAGGGGATGTGATGATGAAGAAATGGCCAACCAACACTCTTCCTTTCTTTCCATGAATCAGGGCTGAACGGCTGGGGTTGATAGCAGAGGGGCCCAATGTTTTCCTGTTTGTTCACCTGGTTCTTTGTGCATTGTTCTGGCTTGAAAACCAAGATACAAAGAAATGATGAAATGTTGAATCATGTTGGCTCAAGATTTTATCAGGCTGTGAGTCAGAATTTTATACTGTATGTTAATTACTTTATGGCAGATAAAGAAACATATTTGTTTCTTTACTGTGTGTGCCTCATCTGCCTAATGTGTACTAGATGTGATATCAGCAATACTAAGTCTAGTTTGATAGTATACATTTTTAATAGGTTCAAATGGAAATAAGGCAGAATTTCTTTCCTCAAGCTCTCTGAATAATGTAATATCTTATGTAGTGCTTTGGATTTTTAATGATATAGTTTAGTTCATAAATATTTCCTTAGCAGCTGCAAAAAAAAAAAAAAAAAAAAAGGAAAGAAAACTAACAGAACAAGAGAAACACACACAGCACCAGCAGTATAATGAGACAAAAAGGAGCAGTCTCAGTCCAGAGAATCTTTTCTTCAGAGTTCTGTTTTTTTACTAAAGAAACTGAGCAGTCACACAGAGGCTTAAACAGACAAAACAAGTGGGATGGGGTGAACAGAAGACCATTCTTGCAGGTTCACCAGCCATTAGCAACACAGGTGAACACCGGTGAGGCCCAGCCTGACCCCATCGCCACCCACACACAGCTTTCCACCCAGCATTTATACTTTAGACCCCAAACAACCTCACTCCATCCTGAAGGCTAAGTGACAGCCCTCCCCAGTACAAACAAATCACACACAAATTACCCATACTAATATTTACGTATTTACATACACAACATATGAAGACTGCTACAAACACAGGTTATATTAAATGCTTAACAAACTGAAAAAATACCAGCCTAAATTAACCCCCTCTAACTCCCCCCCTTCCCCTCATTACTGGTACAGTCCAACAAGATAACTACCAGCAGCTGGAGTCATGTGGCTGCATCTTCATATGTGCACTCCATGGAAACATAACCCCAGGATGTCAACCTCAAAGACAGAGTGATTAGTAGAGGTTCACAAAGTAAAACGACAGAAACAAATAATCTTCCTGTATTAGTCTCTAATGTACCAGTCAGTGTGCATGTGTCTTTGAACTGTGTGTCTCCATCCTTAGTGAGGGGGATATCTCTCAACTCCCTCACAGCAGCCACAAAAATGTTAGCGTGTGTTTACAGGCCTTTTCAGGTGATGGCTAGCATACCCGCTTCATCATTACTGTTGCGGTGTTTCATGGAGCATGAAGAACACAGTGAGAATGAAGGAGGAGCTGGGTTTGATTGGAGTAGTGACTAGCTGCCCCGAGTGCCATTGTGAAGGGCTCTTAGGGAGTGTGTGAGAGGCAGTGCGTGCAGTCACAAGAATAGACTCATTGAAGTGATCATATGACAACCCAGAATAGCTCTAAATGGGCAAAGAATAGAAGTGTTCGTGTATTCTGAAAGACAAGTCAGTGGAGTGTTGGTCTGCAGCACTGATGTTTCTCCTTCTTTGTTTAATTAAATATAATAATTACTGTGTTATGCATGTTGGGACTGTGGGCTGACTACTGAACATACAGGAAAGGTCATGATCTGCAAGTCACGATGCAGAATTTTCTTGTTCTGTACTACAGTCTAATGAGATTTTGGGTTTGTGTACTCCCCACCGCTCACAGTAAGAAAATAGATTTCAGGGCCTTCAGTATCTACAGCAATTTTTCCAAAGTTCAGTATATCAGAAAACAATTTGGCTACACATTGGCAGAAAAGTTTAACATTTTAAGTAGGGTATTTCTTTTTAACGGTATCCCTGGTGGCTAGGATTCGGCGCACTCACCGCTGCGGCATGGGTTGGATTCCCGGTCGGGGAACCTCTAGCCATAGGGGTTTTACGCCAGTGACTTTACTTTACAGCCATTCAGTAGTGGTTTTCAGCCTTGTCTCTGGATCTTTTAGTGATGTTGAGCAATGTTATTCTTAAATTGATGAACTGTTTGCTGCAGAGTGGTGAACCTCATGCCATCCTTATTTCTGAAAGACTCAGCCTCTGTGGGATGCTCCGTTTATACCCAGTCATGATGCGGACTTGGTGCCAGTTAACATAAATATCTGTGAAGTTTCCAGGTGGTTCCTTTTTTTAGCATTACATAGCCTTTCCAGTCATTTCTTGCCCCTTTTCCATGTTTTTTGGAACATGTTGCCAGCATCAAATTCAGAATAAGCTTATCTAAACCAAATGTATGTAAAATATATTAATTTGAAAATTCGATATCTTTGTATTGTTACTGAATGGATATGGGGCATATGCAGTTTTCAAAACATTTTATTTAGGCTTTGTTTACATTTTATACAGCTTGTTGGGAAATGGGGTTGTTTTACAGAGGTCCGTCAGAGAAGGAGACCTTTTTTAAGGGCTGATTTGTACATGTATTGATGTTTACAATAAATGGAGTATCCTTTTTCAAAATGAGATTTATAGCCATGTGTTGTATCATCATCAGGGACAGAACATCAAACCTTTCACTGTACCGGTCTCCTCTTTCACTGCTAAAAATTAAAATTATGTTTTTAAAAAGCCAAACAAAGGACACAGTGATGTATGCTGCATCACTCATCATTCTTGTGTGCATCTACAGTGCAGCTGGCTAGTGAACATATATTTGGCTATCTAAAATATCAGTGGTAAATGTCAGAAGCTAAGGCTTCTTTCTAGGCTCACTGTTTTGCAGACATAATACATAGAACTCCCAGCTGGATGCATCTGTTATTTCCTCTGGGGAAAAAGGCTAACTAAAGAAGAAATGTAAATGTGGAGCACTCTGGTCTCAGTCACATGCATGGATGTTTTTTTTTATTTTTTATTTTTTGGACTCTTTTTTTATCCTCTTGAGGCACCTAAATATTCCTAAGGCGAACGTTAAGGCAGGTTTTCTGTTTATTTATGACATGTGCCTTATAGAAAACTGTTTTTGTCATCATCTCCTTTGACATGAGAGTAATGTACATGTTATAGGCACATGAAATGGACTATAAGATAAAGAATTTATTTATGATCCAGACTTGTTTCTTGTGCTTTTCTCAGCTGTCAAAGCAGGAGAAGCAGCAGCAGAGGAAAGAGAAGATGCGCTCCAAGGGCCCCTCGGAGTCGGGCAGGGAGAAGGGCGCCCTGCGTTCTCGACAGGACCCCAACGCTAGTAGTGGAGCAGAGGGTGACGTGTCTTCAGAGAGGGAGCCCTAGGTCGACACGGTGAGGAAGCCTCGGAAAATCTCACACAAGCACATGCAGTCACTTTATAGTACATGTTCATGTGTGTAGGTCCTTAAAATAGGCCACATCTTTTGTTTTAAATATTTAAGTCATGTCTCAAATAGTGATGTTAGTTGTCTTGAATCTAATGCCGTAACATAAAAAGACATTGAACATGTTTATTAGATCTCATTCTGTAATAAATCAGTTAGCTACAAAAAATATTTTGTGAAAGCTGCATTATTTTTTTTGGCCTGTGCAACAAGCTGAAAATACAACATTAACATATTATAATATACTGTACAATATTATTACTTTATCTTGAGATTTAGCTAATGTGTTAAAGAACATCTGTCTCTTTATGCATCTAGTAGAAACAGAACAACAAAGTCATGTTTGTGTCCACCTAATAAATGTAAATCTAATAGGCTCCACCAGTTTCTGAGGGAAACATCTGGCTCTTTAGCGAATAGGCTCCACTAGTTTCTGAGGTAAACATCTGGCTCTTTAGCTGCTTAATGCTCCACTGTGTTCATCAGTTGCTTGCTAACTTTGTCTGTCTGCCATTTTGTGATGGGCAGGTAGTGCTGAGTGGGTTTATTAGAGCTTTTTGTTGAAAACAGCTTCACTAGAAACAAGTGCGTTCGAATGGTTTCTCAATAGACGGTTCTGGTGAGGTTACATACATGCACATGGCTGATTTTATGCACATGCACGAGAATGTTGAGAATCAGTTTTTGTGTGTAAATAATGTATATTGCATATGGAAAATGAAAGTACATTTTAAATTAAGTTTAGTTTTTTGCATGCTACATGTTTCAGTGTTTTCTAAAATGATTGTTAAAGCATCATGAAGTTAGATTTGTATAAGCAACATGATTCACATTGTCATTCATAACATTTAGCTCATCAGAACCAAAGAAATTATTAGTATGTAACTAACCCACAGGCATGATGAGATGCCTTCATGGTTTACATCTGAAAGCTTGAGGGCGCTCCTCATCCCCAACTCCTCTGAGCCCAGTAGATCCAACACAGGGAGATGCAGCCGCCTGTTGACTCAGAGACCCCACTGCTGCTCTCTCTTGCAATGACTGGCTCTGCTATGGTGCTGTTGCTAATGTTTGCTGTTGTAACTACTTCGGCTTCGGCATTAGCAATGTAATTTTTGTTCTCAGTACCAATACTATTGGTAGCATTTTGGTCTTTGAAATAGTAACGTGACTTAAACTTTCAGATCTTTATTGTTTGCTGTTGTTTACCGTTGTTACTTGCTGACTGTGGGCTATGGAAAACTCCCCTGAGGAGGAGGCGTTTTTCAACAAAGTATTTTTCCTCAATAAATCATTTAAAACAATTTTCACACAACCATATTCCTTTGTTTCAAAGCACTATGTTTACAAAAAAGTGTTTACTTAAAAATTGTATTTATTTTTTTGTTTTTATAATCTTTTATTGCTGAGTATAAGATGGTGGTGATGCCATCTCATACTTATGCACTTCCCCATAGCAGTGAAGTTTCAGGCCATAAAACTAAAACATCTATTTAAAAGATGGTAGAAAACTCCATAGAGCTGAGAGATATAGCAGGAATCTGTTGAGGGAAGTTCTTCAAATTTGGCACAAGTGTCAACTTGGACTGGATGATGAACCTATTAAATTTTGGTGGTCAAAGTCAGTCCCATCCCCATGAATTTGACTGGTTGGAGGAAGCATACAACCATGAAATGGTAATTCAGATTTTAGGGCTAGTGTATTCTGATAGACTAATGTCCACTATCAAATAATGCTCCCAGTACAGAATCACCCTATATTATGCCACTATTTGCATTGTACTAGTATTGGGAGCATATTTTGATACTCTTAGCATATTTAAGATTTTAGGGATGGCATATTCTGATGGACTAATATGACCTCATATTACACCAATACTTATACTAAGAGTACTGGAAGCATGTTTGGATACTCAATATTTTTTATTTAAGGGGTAGCGTATTCTGATAGACTAATATCCATCCTCTGTCAAAAATTACTCCCAGTACAGAATCACCTTATATTACAACACCAACCCATTCCTGTGAATTTGACTTGTTGGTGGAGGTCTATAACTGCAAAGTGGTCATTTTAATTTGTTCTTAAATTCAAGGGCAGATGTTATTAATATGTTTCAAGAACAGTTTGAAATTTGCAGAAACCCTGAGGGACCTCAACACCTGAGAAACAAACAGCATCCAGTGAATTTACAAGGAATGACTTTTGGTGATAGTTTGCAGTTTTTGTTTGTTTGATTTTTGTTCTTTACATTGCCAACAAAAACACTCGCCCATGTTTTATATTAGTGTACAGTATATTGTGTCATGTACAATATTGCACGTTTAAGTAAATTTGCAGTGAATATCAGCTACAGTCCCCTCAACATCTGTTTTCCATGTCTCCTTTTCCTGTCTGTGCCTTCCCTTGTTTTTAATTCTTTGACGTTGCGGTTAAACTCGGCAACGCTCATGAGAAACAGTTGTTTGTTTCTCATTCTGTGGCTAATATTGTGTGGATGAGGTGGCAGAGAGGAGGAGGAGGATGGTGTTGCACTTATTTGCCTTCAGTATTTGTTTATTGATGCAAAAACAGATGAGTTCTGGGAGAACAGAGGCAGACAAGCATTGAGTCAGCTTCCTCAGTCCTGTCTGCTCTCCCTGCTGAGGCTGCTGCTGCTAGCTCCTGTGGCACAGCTCTTCTCCCTGAGTGAACTCTCTGGCAAGCACGCGCATTAACAGATACACCAATAAACATGCATTGTAACCACACTTTAACAGCAGTAATGCTTGTCCGTTCTCACAGATGCATACAGTTAGTTACCTACAGATAAAAGCATATCTGAGTCTGTTCATGTGTTTATCATTATTTTTGCCTTGATATACTGCCTTATGTGTTCTACAATACCCTAAACACACACACACACACACACATCCTGTCCCATGTGGGACCTTATATAGTCCTGTTCTAAACTCTTCTATGGTAGAGGGCCCTGCTTTTTTTTTTAATCCCCAGGTACATGTTGGGTAAATACAGTCCCTCTTTCCCTAAGGCCTTTTTGGCTGACAAACAGCCATAGTGAGACAAATGGCAGGAAGAGGGGAAGTAAGACAGAAGCCAGAAAAAAAATGGTGATAAGTTGAGAGAGTTATTTGGTTTTTCATCTTTGGGTGTGTGGCAAATGAGGGTTTTGCTTTGCATGACTTAAACATGAGAAATATGCACTTGTGTCTGAATGAGTAATTTGTGAGTCCTTCATTACTGTCTTCCTTCCTTTCCGTCTGCAGTGTTCTAATTTTAATATAAATGGCTTACAAGGGGGTTTCTGCTGCTCATCGGGCCGCTATGAGCATTTCCAGCTCATTGCTTTTTTAATTGTTTGCAAATCACCTACCTGTATAATAAACATGTAAGAAATGTATTCAGAAAGTACTGTACACTAGATGTAGCTTTCATTTAAAAAAATTATATGACTGCTTATACAGTATCTTTTTATATTTACTGAAACTGACAGTCCCATTCTTTGTTTGTTTAAATCTGATAATAAAATATGTGAATACAGTAACTCCAGATAATTGCAACCTTTCTTTAAAGCTACTCTAATTTCTTTTCAGCTGCTAGAAGGTCTGGTGAGAGTCATAACATACTTGTGCTAGAAACCACTCCTTACCATTGTTTGCCCCTCCTGTCCTGTTTTCTGAAGCTACGACATGAAATACAGATAGCTGGTTCTGTCAAACTGTACGTAAAGACAGTCTCCAGTCCAATGTTATCCTTAGCTGATTGACAGGTCCCTGGTCTATGGCAGCATCGCACCAGCACAGTATCAAGTGACAAGGTTGAGAGCTTAGTGATTTAATGCTACACAAACCTCAGATTACTCTGAAATTAAAATCATATGAATTCAATACAAAGGTAAAATCAGGTCACTAATGTCACCAAGACAAACACATTAGCTTTAGATGCCAAATGCGTCCAGAAAGAAGAATGCCACATCTGCACCAAATCAATTCCTTTGTCTGCATTTAGGGCTCTCCATCTCAACCAATGTCTTTGATTTCTGGTTCACAACTTTGCTCACATAAATGGAGAAGCAAATGGAGAGTAAATATTGGGCTTGAATTTGTAAGGTTACCAAAAACATGCTCAAAATTAATACTAATGTTGTTCCCTGTTTGTTGGAGGTGTACATAGGGATGTTTGCCCTAAGAAATTTACAAGATTACAGTCTGTGGATAATGTGCTGTTAATTTGTTCAACAGCTCATATGGGGCCCACAAAACAACTTCTGTAATAAGTAGTTGCACTTTATTTCCTCTTACAAATGAGAAGTGGAATTCATTAGCTGTCATTGGCATTTAAACATTTTTTTTTTCTTTTTGATGGTTCAAGGTATTTGTTTAATAATGACTAGAAGGCAATCAGTGTGTCATGTTCACCACCATTTTTGGGTTTGGAGCAGGGCATCATCTCGCACCGTTGTTTATCTCTAGCCCCAATCCCCCAGAGTAGCCAATGTGCTGCATCTGGTTTATTGCACTCACCTGTCGCTTGTTGGCACTGCCTATTTAAGCTGCTTTGTTTCCCCTCCCCACTTGCCACATTATCATTTTGCCATCCTGCAGTGTGAGCCAGCCATCTCAGTGCCTGTTCCCTACTGCACTTTATCGGATCCGATCTCCTGCCTGTTTCCTGTTCGCCTCCTGGCTGTTCACTCTTCGCCTGTTGGATTCTTCACCCCTGCCTGTGCCATAAGCTTGTTGTCCCTACCTGGGTTTTTTGACTCTGTCTTGACTTGTTTCCTGATAATGATGCTTGTACTCTGCCTGTCTGGGCCTTTGATGCCACCCTATTTGCCTTTTTATGACACTCACTTATTTTTGTAATTGTGCTGGCTGAAGAGGATTTGGTTTTTGCTGACGTGTTTTGATGGTGCTTACCTTTTTGTTATTCTCCCCTCACTAGAGGAGTGTTTTTCAACTTACCTGGGCCAGCCTCTTCATTTGTCAGTTTTTGTATTCTCCTTTTACACTTTGTCGAGCCTGAGGATGGAAAGATTCTCCCCACAGTTGTTGCTACCTGCCTGCCACATTAACCTCTGAGTCGTCTCTCTGCTGCAAGGTGGGACTGCCATTTTTTTCCTACACCACCATTTTGTGTTTTCTCACTGTGGGAGAAGACCTACTTCTACTTTCCTGCTGGGCAAATTACACGTACACAGTCTCTGTTCTCCCTAGGGCACCTTCTCTGCATGGTGCCTGATGGACCATTGTCCAAGGTCCTCTCTCCAAAGCCCTGCCCGTTTTATCTGCAGACTCCTCCAGAGACATCCATTTGAGTTTATTTTAAAACCAAGTCACAAAATACCTGAAACCCTGTTGTGAAGCTCCTGCTCACCATGTCTCTGTGTTTCCTAGGACGGTTTATGTTAACTTCCAGGGGTCCAGCTACTCTTCACCCGAGTTACCCAGATTCCACCGGCTCCTGCTTAACGCTTCTGTTCTGAAGCAGTTCTACTCTTGTAAACACCATTTTATTAAAACTCACAAACATGTATCCTGTCTGTGGTGTCTTGCTCTTGAGTCCTACAACCCAGTTCACTGACAAACTGTAGACCTCTGGAAGGGTAATTCCGTTTCCCCATGATGCCCTTACACCTAAAAGCAATAGTTCCATGATAGTTTGACCCTCATAATGTCATTGCTTGACCATGAAATCCTACTGCTGGCATTTGGAATGATGCTGATATTGTCTCCCAACCGGAAAGTTGAAGGTTCGAATCTCGGTGCCTGCAGTCCACATATTATAGTGTCCTCGGGCAAGACACTGAACCCCCAAGTTGCCCGTGATGGCGGCGCGTACGCACGCAGCGGCCTGTGGCCCTCGGCTCCAAACACAATTCCATTGTACATGTCACAATGACAATCTTTTTCTTCTTCGTCTTCTTCTTCTTCTTCAACACAGACTAATCTACTCACTAGCCTGCTTTTACAACCTTGTCATTTTTAAACTTGCACACTTGCAAACTATTCTATTAATGAACAAAATCATCCCCCCTGCGGAGGTAATCGTTTAATAATAATGATAATAAAGAAGTAATAACTTACACCCATAACTAGCAGAGATTTGACAACTACAGCCTTATTGGTAATACAGTAATGTATAGTGGCTAATGTCAGTGAACTCTAGGTAGATATTGCTCTGTTTTTGAATGAAGTGATAATTCAGTGCCATTTTCCCATGAAACTTACTTACGGCCGTCATCAGAAAACATTACATAATTACACTTTAAACTCTTCAAGCCTTTATAGAGTTTTTTATCAGGTCATAGACCAAAACTACCCTAACAAAATGTTCTCTGTTCTCTTATGCAGTTGTCATACCAGGGACATCACGGTGAGCCCAGTTTCCTCAGGAAGGCCTTAATCCTCAGTGACTCCTACACCTGATTGTGGATTGTCCTCTCTCCTGTTTGGAAATCAGCAGGATTCCTTCAGCCTGTCGTAGATCATCGTCCCCGTGCTGGTGTCCTTGGCCTCTCTCCTTCAGAATCTGATAGGAACAGCTAGGTGCAACAAAGTAGCAAAGAGGAGGCTTCACCACGAGGCAACTTTCAGTTTTCGTAGATATAGATAAGAGATAAGAGAGATTGAACAAGGGTGCTAAAAAAGGGAGCATGGGTGATCTGGGATGGAACAGACATCAGCAGCACTGCACTGTGTGGCCCACTGGCTTTTGTGCTGTTTTACTCTGTTTTTCCCACGGCCTCTGTGTTTCTCCCTCCAACTGTCTCTGTCTTTCTTCTTCTTTCTCTTTGGATTCTCCCTGGCTGTCTTAATCTCGGCGTGCTGTTCCCACTTAATCTCTGCTTAGAGACATGGCACTGACCCTAAAGCACAACTCAGCTCCAAGTCCTTGGTTTATAATGCAGCACAAGAACATCAAGACAGTGATGATGTAACAGCCCCGCCATATTGATTACACCAGTGACACTTCATGATTGACAGTGTTCACATGTGATGCTTATGTTAAAAGGTTACTGTACGTGTATGAACAGTCTGTGGTTAATGGTCCAACTCAAATTACACTGGCACACAGGTCTGCTGCATAAATTGCATGGCTTGTGTTGAATTTTGAGAAACATTAATAGGAAATTTGTAATGTATCGCTAGATAGAGTACAACACACAAGAAGCCCTTCAATGATCCACATCAACTTTATAGCTCATGTCCCCTCTTCCTCCTGAAAGCATGGGTACTTGTCTGTTGTTGCACTCTACCTTGCCAAATTACAGCATGTACACAATTTTTAGGCAAGTTGTATTTTTGAGGATTAATTTTGTTATTGCACAACTACAGTGCTCTTGGTCAATCCAAAATGTTAACAAACCCTCAAACCTGAACATTTAAGTAGTAAAAGTGAAGTTTTGGCTTTCTTAAGAGAATATCTACATGTACACCATTATTAGGCAACTATTAGTGTGCAGAATTATCATGCAACTAAATAAAAAACAAAGATTTTCCCATCTCACTTATTTATTTTCACCTGTTAGTGAGAATAATAAACTCATAATTTACAAATAAACAGTTCTGAAATTCCAAACAGAAAACCTCAGTGACCAATATAGCCACCCTTTTTTTTGATAACAGTCACAAGCCTTTCATTCACAGAGTCAGTCAGTTTTTTGATCTGGTCAGAACCAACTGTTTGTGCAGCCGCAACCACAGCCTCCCAGAGACTGTTCAGAGAGGTGTACTGTTTACCTTCACTGTAAATTTCCTGCTTAAGAAGGGCCCAAAGGTTCTCAATAGGATTTAAGTCAGGTGAAGAAGGGGGCCATGTCATTAGTTTTTCATCTTTAAGGCCTTTACTGGCCAGCCACGCAGTGAAGTACATGAGAACATGCATGTGATGGAGCGTTGTCTTGCATAAAAATCAAAGTCTTCTTGAAAGATGCAGACTTTTTCCTGTACCACTGCTTGAAGAAAGTGTCTTCTAAAAATTGGCAGTAGGTCTGAGAGTTGATTTTGAGTCCATTTTCAACCCGAAAAGGTCCAACTAGCTCATCTTTAATAATACCAGCCCATACCAGTACCCCACC